ACACCTTAAACTTAAGCTGAAGCACCTCATCAGTTTTCTATTTATTGTCACCAGGCTATTGAAGTTATGAATGTCACAAATGTAAATTTCTACTTCATGATGTTCATGTGACATTCAGATCCCCAAACCTGCCTTTCATCTGCAGCCAAATTGGTTTATGATGTAATGATATTTAAATCCCTTCGTACCCTCTGTCCCTGCAGCAGACACCTGGCAACGGCCCGTCCTCCCTTGTGTCTTCTGGGTCACAAGCTGTGATAGGAAAGCTGATGAATCTCATGTCTCACATTCACTTTGTCACACATAGATGAGTGATGCTCAAAGAGAAAGACAGGAGATTTGCTGACTAACAATTTTATTGGCTTTCCACAACAGCACAACCTGTCTCAAGCCACAGAATGGGTTTAGAGACAGACAGAAAGAAGGACAGATTGAAAAAAGGTATGTGGAGAGGGAAGGGAAATTGGAAAGAAAGGGCAGATACTGAGATTAGAATAAAGACAAGGAGAAGGGGAAACTGGTTAGAGTGGACACCGTCAAAGAGAGGCAGACAGAAAGATAAAGCGACAGACGAGGAAAGTAATCATCTTAAAGGTCTGAGGGTCTCAGTCAGACCCACTTTCTGTCCTACGGCAAAGATGAATGCAAGAGTTAGCTCCTACTGTGTGTGCAAGGATGAAAGATGAACACAATTTCAGCACTGACCTCAAGGGTTAAAAATATGAAACAGTTGCATGTGAGTGTAAAAACACAGTGACAGCATGGTGCGGAAATAAGACTACCCTGCTGCTTGGTCTCTCCTCAGACAATCTAAAGAGAGGCTGCATACTTGTCCTCCCTGCTGTAGAATCTCAGATTTTTGGTTAAGTTGAAGAAAAAATGTTGTCCTTGCTGACAATTGCAGCAACATATTTGTCATGAATTTCCTCCTCCTCCACACCTTTAAAAATAAAATGCGACCTGACATAAGCATCAAGAATTTAACAGGAGAGAATGTTTCCATCATTCATATTTATACCAATAGATTATTGTTGTTTAGCCATCAGTTTTATTAAGTTTCTAATAATGATCGCCAATTTTTCATAGCAAGTATACTCCTACACTATTAAAAAAATTGCAATTAATTTGTATTTGTGCTAAAGGTTTAATAAGTTATAACTTCAATACATTAAAATTTCACTTTGCTTATGACCTTATTCTCATTGGAGACCAAAAAAGCTTAAATTTGAATTTGTATTCACTCGTTATGTTTCTGCTGCTTGGTATTGGTATGGTTAAGAACATAAATGTTAAGAGACAGCCCATTTTTACATCTAAAAGTGATGTTGAAGGGAGACGCAGCTAAAAAAAAAATGATGTAAGATGCTGAATGACTTTAAGGAGGAAAAGAAAAAAGCTGGGGTAGATAATGGTAATATGAAAGCTTTATTATAGATGATACTGCTGAAAAAAAGTTGTGACCATCTGATATCTGTTTGGTGAAGAAGACCTGAGCGCAATATTGGGAGATATAAATAAGGTTTTCAGCATATAATCTTTTGTACAGAAAATGACACAGGCTGATGTTAGACATAATGTTGGGACATTTTCTTCCAAATTCAGCACACCTTTTATATTTTTATTTTAAGTTTTATTATTTTTAGAAGTCAAACATGATGCAAAAAATTATTTTGGAAGATGAACTTTTTTGCACAATAATTATGAATTATTAATCAATACCATGGACACTCACTTTTTATTCTCACTTATTTCACTCTAATTTGTGTAATGATGGCTGGATGGACTGTTAACCAGACTTCTTGCATGGGAGCAGATAGGAAAAGGCCTTCACAGTGTGGGTTTTCACTTATTTAGTCATGTGTATTTTTGAATACAGTTCTACTAGACAATGTTCAGAAAAGTCTCAGTAAGTCATTAAGTTCCTTTAGATATTCCTCATCCACAGATGGCCCACACTCAGAAAGCACTAACCAGCTGCTAATAGCCCCCAAATCAGCTGGGTGACCCCAAGAGTTCTCATGTTGTCTCAGCTACACAAATTTACCATTTGTGGAATTTAGAAATCCATCCATCCACCTGAAGAAATTTTGAAAGCCCCCAGATCAAATTCTGCCATGGGCCCCATGCAGCCTTGAGCCTTCTTTATTTTCATGTATGTTCAAAACACTTTGAACCTTTCCCAACCATTCTATCAAGTCTCCATCTCTTTTTAACCAGGAAACAGCTGCTCGCCCAAAGTAGCTACTACATGTAATATATTTATGGATTTGTTCTATTTCTCCACTGACATAGATTGTTTTTTTCTTCTCTGTTTTTTGGGCTTTGCTGCTGGCAGCTGTTTTGTGAATCTGGGCAGAAGACTTGCCTCGCTCTTCTGCTCCAATTCATATCCAGCCGTCGAGCCTCTTCAACGGCAAGGCTCTAATGTAGGTGCAATGAAGATGGAGTAATCCTTTAGGCTTGGTGTGCATAATGTGCACAACCACAAAAAGTAAAACATAATCACAGTGGGTGACACCAGATATACCTGGCATTATGTGAAAATAGAGGAAATATTTGCTAGCAATGAAACATCTGTCCATTCAAAGTCTATATCCACTTATGGTTGAAGGGATGGAGGGCTTGGTGCCAGGACTCATTGGGGCAAGAGATGAGGTACACACAGAGGCACATAGGACAAACAACCATGCACACACACACTTACTCCTAAGGGCTATTCAGAGAGACCAATTAACTTAACAGTCATGTTGTTGAACTGTGGGAGGAAGCCAGAGCACCTGGAGAGAACCCACACACACACGAGAACATGTAAACTGGATGCAGAAAAGCACTAAGCTGTGATTTGAACCCAGGACTTCTTGCTGCAAGGAAACAAAGGTACCAACTACGCCCCTGTGCAGCAACTTTGAAATATTTAAACAAAAAAAGTGTGTTACAATGACAGAAATGTGTTTCTTTTTTCATTTGAATGAATGAAGAAATTTTAATTGTCAACATTTTACTGAATAAGAAAGTGACGCAAAACCTAATTTTATTGCTTTCTGCAGCTGTCAACTTTTTTTTTACTGTCATGGGATAACATCAGAGAGCCTGTCTTACAATTTACCTTCATATTTATCCAGTAGTTTTATTCATAATTCATGTGCTGATTCATAAGTTAAAGTCTTTCTATGTATGTGAGTCATGATGAACTGCAGCATATCTAAACGAAAACCTATATTTATAGCCCAGAAACACAGACCTGCCGGTTCCCTTTCATTGAACACATTTTTTTATTCAATTTAAATGCTGCTTTTCATTCTCCCCCCTCCTCCTTTATGTCTGGCCACTTCATTGGCTTTAAGTGTCTGTGCAGATATAACCGTGCGTGCTCTACCTCTGCTTAGTTGAATTATGGTCATAAGGTTCCTACATGATTATAATTATTCTAGTAAGGTGAATATGTCAACCTCAGATTGCATAGGACAAAATACTTTGCATTGCATTGCAAGAGGTACACAATTGCCTTTGCACATGTTATTTACATAAGTAGCAGTCTAGAATATATCAACTAAATTCCATGAAAAGGAACAGAAAATCTACATCTTGTACAACAGTATAGATGAGACACAATTGTGCAAATAACACCATCATTACCCTGACATTTTCTTGCAACAAAATGAATAGTTGTTGCCAATGTGAATACAAATTTGTGATTTTTCTAACAACAAAAGCCCTATTTATTTTTCTTGGTGCTGAATAGTCGCTCTCCCATGAGTGGAGATAGGGAAGACCATGAATGTTAGCTTCTGTGATTGTACCAAGGCGGTTTCCATTGTGTATCAATGTATATTAAGGTATGTTTGATGTATGAGCTATTAAAATAGGCACTTTATAGAGGGGGCCTTGGGTATTCACAGATTTTAGGTACTTGTAGGTGGCTGTGTCTCTAACAACCATAATTATCATGGGTCCACTGGAGTAGTTTAAAAACAACCAGGATAAAAATAGTAGAAAAAGAGACAATGTCTCATGTTATGATTTTGGTTATTTGGGTCCAGGTTCCTTAATAGCAGCCGTCTGATCATTGTATTATTGGGCCTGTTCTTTCTCGTCTTCCTCTGTGCAATACATGTTTTCTGTAGGATTTAATTCAGGTGAGTTTTCTGGCTAGTGAAGCACAGCAATGTAATGGTCATTATACCTGGAATTGGTACTTTTGTCAGTTTGGGAGGGTGGTAAGTCCTGCTTAAAATAGAAAAAAATTGAATTTCCTTGAAGCTTGTTAGCAGAGGGAAGCGTGAAGAGCTCAGCAGCTAGCATGGATGGATGCCAGATTATTTCTGACTCTGGAAACTTCACAATGGACCTCAAGCAATGTGGATTCTGTGTCTCTCCATTTCTCTTCCAGGCTCTGTGAGCTGGATATTTCAAATTGAATGTAACTTACTTTCATCTGGAAAGAAGAAATTAAAGCATGGCACACCAATCCAGTAGTTTGCTTTACTAGTGGCCTTTACCTCATCTGGATTATTAGGTATGGTGTGATCCTTTTCCTATTGACACTGTTTTTGGGAGCTACTCATCTCTTTCCATAACGTTTTCCTTCCACTTAACCTTCCAACATGTTGATACAGAACTTCATTAAGAGCCAGCTTCATGGAGTCAAGTCACTGTCAAGTCAGCAGTCTCCACCATGATTGTGTATTCAATAATATGAATGAAACTATGTTTGAAACGAATAACAGTTAAGCCTTAAAATGTGTGAGTTTGACTTTAGGAATTAAATAACTATAACTTGACTTTATAGTTTCCCAATTTATTAAGATCCACCTGTATTCGTTCCACAAAGTTGATTTATTTTTTTCTTTTACTTTCTCATATTCATGTTTAGAGGATGATTACTGGTGATGTGTTACCAAAAGAGTGACTCAGCACTTCTCTTCCTGGTTAACAACCAGACAACGTAGCGCTTTTTTTCCTTCCTTCCTGGTATTATAACCGCAAACAACCATCACTCGCTATCCCGCCCATAAGCGTCACTCACTATAGCAGCGAGCCGGGGCTGATCGAGCTCACACGCTCCCGAGCTGAGCCACAGAGAGGAGCACAGAGCCGCCGCAGACGGGCTGGAGCTGGAGATCACCTCACTTTGCATGATCACATCCGCAGATCGTCCAGGATCTAAAGATGTGGACCGGCGTCGGAAAGCTCATGCTTCTACATTTGTTACTCATGGAGCTCAGCGGCCACGCTAAAGGTAAGCCACTTACTGGCTCGGAGATGGGGGGGTTTGCATCGTAGCAGTCGCGCTTCTCCGGGTTCAGGAGGGAGGAAGTCTTGTGGATCGCGTGGGTTTTGGGGGTGGGGGTCTCCGGTGCCTTCCGCGAAACGACTCGCCTGTCAAAGTGGTCCGTCTCATTAGTAGAGCAGCGCTAATGCCTCCGGTAGATACTTCAGCTGCTACAAGCATTCGGGAGATTACAATCTTAATTGTCACTTTCGTCAGGTTTTGTGAGCGTTAACACAGGTGACACGAGGTGACGGTGAGAGGAAGTGGCACATGTAAGCAAGCGGCTGATGTTGAGACTGTGGCCAGAGGAAGGCTGCCTGCCTGCGGGGATGTGATCAGCAAAGTGCTGGCTGTAAATGCTTTGTTTTTAATGTTTACGCTGCAGTTGCTAAATTACTGCAAAACACATCAACCTAAACAGATCCTTTTAAATGCCGGCACAGCGCCCGTGGTAGGCACTCATTGTTGCACTAAAGTCAACATATTGGAAGAACCGGCGAGTCATTCATGAGCAGACCGCATTACTGGAAGTAATACTTCAATATTGATTGGATCTGGATGTTACACCAAAAGCAGATACATGTCATTTAGAGGATTTCTCTCATTCCATGCTCAGAAATCGGTTACTTTGTGCAGGTTGTTCTTACTTTAATAGTTAACTTCCTGAAGTTTGAGAAATGTCATTCTATTTAAAATGGCCTTTAACCGACCCCCGAGTACATTTCAGAATCAGTTTCTTAATCTGAAATTTGAATACCACCCTCCCAAAAAAATCCTGACAAGCTGCTGTTTTCTGACACCACAGGAACTCATACCGAGTCAGAGTGTGAAATAGGGCAGTTTCAGTGCAAGAGCGGAGTGTGCATCCCAAGCCTCTGGAGATGTGATGATGACAATGACTGTTCAGACAGCAGCGATGAGGAGAACTGTCGTAAGTAGCCCAGAGTTTCTACATTCACACTTGCATTATTTTATTGATCTTTACTCTTGTTGTGTTCAGTATGAGCTTTCATTTGAATGTGTAAATACAATAGTTCACAGCTCATGAGTAACTTTTAATGAGTGAACCTGGACTGAGAATACACACTTTATTTTTGTTCTTTGGAATTCCCCTTTCAGCACAAACCTCTCATCCAGGATCAAAAGTCACATGACCAAAGGAATTTTTTTTTTGTACTTCTTACTAATTCAGATCCTCAGTAAAGCGGATTTGGGGCCTTAACTAATATTACATGTGGTTTTTATGCTTGTTTTGTTATTAACCCTGTGCTGCTGTTGATGTATGGAGTTAGATAGGTGAAATCAGGCTTACAAATACATTGCATATAGACTAAAACTGCTTTAGAGATTATGCCATGTCTGACACTTGGGGATTAGATTGCAGATTTATGTGTCATAATAATTAATGGTGAGTCATGTGGTTTTCTCTAGTTTATTAGATTTGGCTGCTTTTTGTAGTCTCTTGGTTATCTTTGTGTAGAAGTTGATAAGTGTGGAATGACATGCGATTCTCATAATATGATAATTGTTTCATGGTTTCGCTGTGTCTATGCAAACATTTACAGCAAAAACAATGAACGTAAAAAATGAAATGAAAAAATTAAGTTTTTATAACTGCTGCAAAAATATCTAATGCTTATGAGTCTTAAACTCATATTTCTAATATTAATTATTACATGATTTTTGATGCACAGACTAAAGAAAAAAAATGGAACGAACAGCCATTGAAATTAGTAGTAATTTCCAAGTGAATGGATCTATGCTATTCTATACTTAATATTACAACACATGTATGATGAGCTGATCACTCTATCTGCTCAGGTTGTTATCCTGTTGACTTCTTAACTTATAAACTTTAGTTTCAAAGTACTCTTATCTTTAATGAGAGTAATTGGTGGTGCTTCTTAAGATCTCGCACCATAACTGCCTGTGCTCTCTGTCTCTGGAAATACAGCCTGCCCGGTGCCTTCCTGTGCAATTCCATTTAATTCTCATCTCCCTTCAGTTTCTCCCGTTGCATTTCAAACGGGTCAATAGGTGAACAAAAGGCGTTTTGAACGATAACATACATTTTCTGAGCTGCTTTATAATTGTAGTCAATATTGGCAATGGCAACGGAGGAAATATTTGAAACCAGTCAGTCTCCGAATTTTGAGCAGTTAAAGTCAGAGCAAGAGGAATGTATAACACATTTCATTGGTGGCAGAGATGTTGTGGCCCTATTTACCCAAAGAGGTGCTTACGGCACTCGCAATTTCTGCAAAGTTTCATTGAGCTAGCACGCCACAGCCGTATGCAATGCTGTAATGTCAGCGATTGGGTAAAATCCTACCCATAATCACAACCAGTCTTTTCTCAGGAGCCAAGTATCCAGACCCTCTGTACAGGAGCAAAGCAAGAGATTGGCTTTTACCAGGTGCTTCCAGAAACATTCACAGCTTTGTCTTGCTTGTAAATAAAAAAAAAATAAATAAATAAAGTGTAACAGCCTTGTTTTAGACAGCAGTGAACAACATGTGTGGGAGGGTCAGCCCTGCATTACTTTGTGGATGGAGAAAACATTGCTCATTTTCCCATCTCATTAAGAGCATTTGCCATAAGAAGTAACTTTTAAAACTCTCATAACTCGATACATCTACTCAACCAATTCCCTGGCCAGAATTTAAAATGCTTAATCACTTTCATGTGTAAACAATGAAATATTTGAAATTCACCAAGGAGTAGAAATAATTGAAACCTTGTTTTTTCTCTCTTAAGTTGAATGAAGAACAAGACCGGTATTTGTGGCATGATCATAAATTGGTCACTGAAGAAGATTTAAAAGTGGTTGAATTTGTGGTTAGATGGTTTAATACTTACAATAAAGACCACATGGTTCCTCATCTTGCTTTGTTGATGTGCTGAACCCTCAAAGATTAAGAATTCTGACTGCGTCTCTGTGACTCCGGAGATTTGAGTTTCTTGATGGTGGACAATACTGGAGGTGAGGTAGAATTGGCTTTTAAAGAGCTTGCCTTCTGTCTAGCAGGTGTTGTTTGTTTTGCTTGGTGTAAGTGTTGCTCAGAGAGAATGTAAGAAATGTACCTTAAAACACAAGGTCATCCACTGTTCTTTACAGAGAGACGTTTTGTCTGTGGTGGAAATGAGGACTGTGACTTTCATCTCTCTTCACTCTCTTTGCTACATATCTTGTAAGCTTCAGATGTGGGTATGCTTCTCTCCTGGGTTTGCTCTCACTCTCTGAATCACTGCATCTTCTCAGTCTCTACCTTTATGTACGTTTCCCCTATTGTTCCCTCTCTCCCTTGCTACCTGGTGTCATTCTTTTCTTTGAAGGCACCAGCTCTTAGTCTGTGAAAGTGTCTCTTCCTAAAAGGCTGTCTCATTTCCTCTGCATTCTAGTGTCCATTAATCGACTCTCTTGTGCCATTTTTAAATCATTTATTGCTTCACCTTGACAGTGCCAATGCCAAAAAGGTTGTGGACACTCGCCTCAGATCCACAAAGAGCATCAGCTGACAGGTTGGTTGGAGATAAATCCAACAGCATGACTCTGGCTGCTGCCGTGATTCTCGTTGACTGGCAAGACGCCAGGCCTTCGAACAGATGCCAGCACTGCCGCTGCGCCCCCTCCCTAAAACCAAATATCACCAGCAAGAGCTCTGCGGAGAGGGGGTGGAGGCTGAACAGGAGAGGGAGGCGGAGAAAAGATGGGACAAATTTGACTGGGAGAAGCAAGATGGTGTAGAGCAGAAATGATGGGAGGAAAATAGGAACAGGCCAAAATGAGCAGGGAAAGTGGCCATTGTTTTTATCCTACCAGCACTTCTGTGGCTGTTTCCAATCTTTATTTCAAATTTGAAAGATAGACAGAAAGTGGCAAGGATTTCTTTCAAACACTAGAAAAGTGGTCTTACACTTGTTTTAAAGAGCGACTAAAACTGGGAGGGAAATGCATCAAGATCACAAGATGAAATTATATATTGTATATTTCTAATGCAGACTCCCTACTTTTATGTTTTACTTAGAGGGATTTATGTTGTATTTGTTGCACTTCTTAGGGCATTACTGTATTCTGTTGGGACATTTATTATAATAAGGTTAGTATGTCAGAATATGTTAACAAGCTTCTAGAGTACTCCGTTAGGTTTCTCCTGAAGTATCCACCTACCATTCTTGTAAATAAGTACATTTAAAATGGTCCTTTTGTGTTCATCATTCTACTGTTTAAGTCTTTCATCTTCCTCTTCCTCTCTCCGCTACTTCATTCTCAACACGCCTCTTGTTTCCCTGGGAGACAGTAAAGTGGTGATGGTGGTTATGGTTTTTGGTGCATTTGTGCTGTCTTTGTGGACAGTACACCTACTCACATGCATGCTTAAACATCGGAACTGTCCGTTTCCTTTAGGTTCTTCATGGCCTACATTTAGGTTGTGGAATCCTATTGAAGAAGAAGGTTGCATACTTGTTCAAACTGGTGCTTAATAGGATACAAAAAATACAAAATCATTCTGCGTTATAGCATCACAATTATCCTAAACTTAAGTTGTCATGTCCTTATCTTTGGCATAGTGGCCTTGATCAAGCAGCTTGTAAACATGTGATTTGATGGCATTTTCCATTAATATGACCAAAATAAACAGTAGCAATGATTTAGATGGTCTTTTAGTCTGTGATATTCACTATTAAGAGAAACACCTGAGACTTTTGCGTCTTGGATCACATTTTTTTGAGGGCTGTTAAGTGTTTCTAATCATATTTTCTGTTTTAAAAGGATAGGATCTATTTATTTTCCAATCAAATGCCAACACACCATTGTTAACAGTTGCTCTGCTCAGTGATCATTCTTCCATACTGAGCAGGTAGCCATTCAGCAGGTTTCCACTACGTCTACTTGAGATAATTAAAAAGCCAAATATGACATAAATTTAGTGTGAACAAACTTTGTCTAAACTTTGTGTTGTCTAAACTGATTAAATCTAAAATAACACTTGTGCTGTAAAAGAGCATTTAGTGCTAAAAATCCCCAGAAAATAGCATGCAATTTCTGTCAATCCACCATTTAAACATATCTGTGAAAGTTTCCAAATGTCCCAGGAATCAGCCTTGAAAATACTTTGTGCAAAGGTGCAAGACAAGTACAGTTGTTGCTTTATTCTGTGTCTGAATATTAATCTGTCAAAGCTTTACTCAGCGGCCAGCTAAAGCTTCTGAAAGTTTTAACCCTAAATCATAACATGCACTTGGTAAAGAACACCAACTCCTTAAGTCTTGAACCCTTTATGAACCTGGAAAACCAAGGATTGCAAAATAACTAAAAGCTGTGGGGCACAAACTCAATACCTCAGGGTGGGAAAAATGTTGTGGAGCTGTATATGAGCGTGTGCACTCGTGTGTTTGTGTGTCACAGCAAGACAATGAGTCTTAGATGGGGAGCGTCTCAGCTTCAGTCTGAGACCAACTTCCCATAGAGAAGACATCAGAACGCATTTCACGCTGCTGCCATGTGTTTGTGTGGGTGTGTGAGAGAGATCAGCCTTTCTCTCATGCACACACACACACCACCCTCCTCACACAAAGACACACACGATAGTGTTATAAGAGACTGCAGAGAAGCGTTTTAGGCGCTAAAGGCGCCTAAAACGCGCCTTTAGCGCACACACACACACACACATACATGCACAAACACATGTTGGTCACCTGCTCACACACACATGCACACGCAGACTGTTACAGCTGGGGCCAGAAATGTAAATTGAATGTGAGGTCAGAGAGACGAGGTGCATGATGCGCTGCACCGACCCAAGCTGCCTTTTCCTGGGGTAACCCCTAATCATAAGCCTAACAATGACTCTTAAATTGAAGTGACAACAAGTTCTGGTTGGCGTCAGGAAGTATGAAATTAGAATCCTCCACAAGAGGCGGATGCAC